TTGAAGAAACCTAGAGAAAGCTATATCAGCTAATGAATCATAATCATTGGCCTCAGAAGGAACTCAAGCCCTTACAAACAGGGGGTCCTGAATGATTTTGGAAAATTTAGCATGATTTTGGAAAATTTGGCATTATTGCGGACCGGCTTACTAATCGTGATCCAACATTATGAGTGTGACGGCATGGCCAGATGCTGGCAGTGCAAGGTTGTGGCTTCTTTTGTTTAGAACGAACGCAGGAACAAAATCTCACCATCAAAGACATCTATGGGCAGGAAGTTGTGGATGCGTTCTTCAAAAATGAGGCAGCATATTTTGGAATCGTGCTCCGACCAAATCTTTAAGACTCTTCTAACTTGTTCACAATGTTGTGCATGCAGACACATTCAAAACTGCAGGGTGATGTGATGAGTGAGCAGATCGCAGTGATTCAGGACAAATGTCAAGATTTGCCTCTTTACTACAATAGAACAACACCTCTTTGCTACGACATATCATACAAATCTGTGTACACACAGTACCTGGTTACCTCTTGCCACTATGCACTATGATGTCGTTCAGAACGCTTTCTCCAGTCAGTCCTTACTAGTCACACATCGGGAGTCCTTCGACAGGACTTTCGTAACGAGTCCTTGCCAGACAGTGCTTGCCTTGGCAGCAAAGGTATGAGCAGAGCTCACTGAACTGGGGAGATCCTCAGGCCCAATGGTTTTTTCCAGCAATTTGCAGGGGTTTTCTGTTTGTGAACACTTACTCACATGCCTACAGAATGTTTGCACTGCTTAGACATCACTTGATCTTGAGGTCTTCTCAAGGCAGCTTTGGAGGAGCTTGAGGCTACTGCTTGCAGAAATTGCAGGAATAGCGGAGCCCATGGTTCGTAGGCATTTGTTTTTAGGGATCGAATGCAAACCGAGCTGTAAACATCATGCATTTTGCAGTAGACAGATACGGGAACCGGAGTTGGAGTTGTTGCTTTCCTCTGTCAGGAACTCCTCCATCAGGTGGACCATGTACTGGACTCAGAATTTCCCCATGTCGCAATGAACCACCAGCCGATCTCACCGCGCAAGGCTGGCAATTTGAATCGGATGGGTGGAATGAAGCCACTATTGGCAAGACACCCAAGCATTGATTTGGGTCAAACTGGTCAACAGAGCAATTTGATTCATGACTTTGCTCAGCGCTTGTGAGTTGCTTGTCTTCTAAAAGTTCTTTGACCCCTCCAGAAGCAGAAGACTTGGGGCCTGCAAGGAATTGGGGGTCGATCGTGACCACTCACCAAAGGTCTTCATGATGATAGGTTGTGGCGGTGATCACTGCACGAAGAGTCTTGCAACGCTGATGTTTGTATGACTTGCCAAGGAACTTGCCCTCGGAACAGAGCGAGTGGCACATGGCTGAGCAATCAAAGCACGAACATGTCCAACCTGGAGGCCATCGCTGTTAGGTTGGAGACCATCGCTAGTAGGTTGGAGGCCATTAGAAAGACTTAAAGAACAAAGACACAGAAGAAGGGTCTAATGTAATTTTAGGTTATCGCCCGTTCCTCTGGCAAACGGACGCTTCTTTGGCAGAGCCGATGAGCGGACCTTGAGCCGTCAGAAGCGGTCTGAGGAAGCCCTCCGTAGTCTGGCGCTTTGGGCCTTGGGTGTCAAGAACTCAGTTAAAGCTATGGGCTTTGGATGGTTTTGGTTTGATGCAGCGACTTTTCCGCTTTACTTACACGATCTCCTTATGATGGGTAGAAGGAAAACGGTGGTAGAACTGCATGATGGTCGGCACCAGCAGATATCATGCAGGTGGCCGTGCAGAACAATGCTCCAGTACAGCAAGAGTTGCATAGCCTTGGCGGTCTGATTCTCACCAACAAGCCTTTGTTGCAGAAAGGGGACGGTTCAATAAATACGTAACAACATACCTTACTTGCTAAACTTATGTATTTGTATTGTCGACAGTTTGACAGAGCTGTGAGCAGTATCCGTCAGTAGCCCCAGCAGTCACCGGTCCACCACCACGGCTGGCCGGTTGCTGAGGCTTGAGCAGTTTGGCTGGTCGACTGCAAGACTGTAATTGTTTGAGTCCAGAAGTCTGTCAGCAGACTCAGCAGACCAAACAGTTTTTCCATGCTTCTGTGACTCCTGTCTGATCAAGTGGCTCATGACTGTGAGTGACAATTTTTGTGGAATTTTGCTGTTCGTTCCCAAGTTCTTTTGTCCGGACTCGGACCAAGGTGAAGCAGGGGCGCAATATTGTGGAAAGCTCCTCTTCTGCCTCTCGGGGTTTTTGAGGAACTCGCCACCTTTGCAGGCAGCCCGGTGCAGTTCTGGTGGAAAGCACTGAGCAGTTGCTTATTGAGCTGTTTTTCGTCGGAGGTTAGGTTGTAAGTCACCAAATTCAAGGTTGCAGCAATTGCCATTGCTCCTTCCGGGGAAGTCGCCTGCACGCATCACCGTTTTAGAATGGCACGAGTGGGATTTTTCTGATAGCAGCCAGGGTAAGCCATCAAATGACGAGATGTCAAGCACAGCAGTGTTCACATTTTGTAGATATGTAGATTGTTCAATTGAGTCTTCTCCTTGTGCTGAAGGAAGTATGAAAGGGTGGCCCTATGTGGCCCTAGATTTCCAACTAGTCAGTCTTTCACGTGTTTTCGAACGTGATAGATGCTCGGCCCATCATTTCGCCGCAACCGGTTGCGGCGGCTGTGCCATGCAGCAAAGGTTGCATCCAGAGTCCACAGTTGAAAATGATATCCGTTTTCCTTCGGATCATGGTGACTTGAGGGAGTTGCGGCCAGAAGGGGCCAGGATTCGGATTGAAGCTCTCTTGAGTCCAAAAGTCGCCGGTGTGACAGCAATAAAAGGAAAAGTATGAAAAAGTGGCATGATTCTGGTTTAGAACCGGTTTCAGGAACAATTGGTTCGGTGCCCTCTTGCTAGTCAGCACAAGAAACTATGACGGCCTTGAGATGCTCAGAGTGTGACGAAGTCAAGTGCGAGCAGCCGGTGGCTATAACTTGAACGAGAACTCTTTCTACATTGACATGAACAGTTATATATAAATATACATATATATATGTATATATTGGGTTTCAGACCAAACATGCTTGGCCAGTTTCGGTGGACACCAGCCAACAATACTGGCCATTGAACCAGAGTTTTGTTTGTGTACATGACGCCACACGGAGGTCAAACATAGGCGCAGTCCTTATGTATTTTGAAGATGTATTTCCAGCAGAGCTGCCGGCCAAAGGTTATAAGGCTAGTCTCTTCATACGGCCGAAAGCTATTTGTTTTTGATCACATTACCTGCATCCACTACAGAAGTGGGGCGTTTGAAATGATTTCATCAAAGCTGTCCACTTGCTTGACTTACTTATGAAACCTCACAGTGTTCCAGGCGGAGGCAGATCAACTGGGAGTGACAACATGGATGATGAAGGCATGGCCTTCAGCGCTATCTACGTGCTTCGTCGGCGGAGTTGGACTTACAGGGGCCTGTTCTGATTTGCAAGGTGGGGCTTGCACACCCAGCGCCAGCCATTGTGAAGAAGGCACATGCTAGCACCTGCCCTGCATGGACTCAGAATTAAATCCACTGGAAACTACAGAACCATACACTTGGTTGTCACTGGTTGTCAATGGCACGATTGATTATGATTGATCATGGTTGGTTGATGCACACCCCTTGCGCTGGGGATGGCGCTGTGAGGCTCTGGGCTACTTGGATACAGTTTTTGCTCAGAGTCCCGAGGCACAGTTTTGCACTTTCTGACATGCATTCGCTTTTCCCGACAGCGTGACAGTTGCCGTTCCTGGACAGCTTGGTAGACGCGAAAAGCGATGCCACGCTGACTTCTATCTTGACTCTTGTAGGGCCCTTGTGGGAGGAATGGCCTAGCTTCGTTGTTTTTCATTGCCTCACGTTGAGGTTACAAGTGCTGACCTGGATACCTGCGAAAAGGCCGGTCGCCGGTCTGACTTCCACATGGATGCCTTTGGTTTGCTTTTTGAATGCTTTCACTTTCACATTGTTTGTGCTTGGAACTCCTGGGAATCAAGGCTCTTGCACTCCTGGGCCGCCTGGCAGAACTTCGGCCCAAGCTCTTCAATGGTTTCAGAGAGGCGGGAGGAGCTTGCGGCGAACAAGCAAGCGTATATGATTCATTTCATGGCTTATTATTGACATCTTCTGACTTAATGCGCACGTTGATACAGTAACACCATATCATTGTCCTCTTGCTTCAAGGCAATCATTGCAGCTGCACGAAAAGCCCAGCTTCACTGTGAGGAGCAAGGCAAGCAGCTCAAAGAACGACTGTCAACGGTCCATGACTTGAGATGGTTGATCTAAGGTGGCGACCAGGACATTTGCTCAGGCCTCCTGCATTCGGCGGCCGAGGCTGACCAAGCTTCACATGCGACCTTCGAAGATCTCAAATTTGGACCTTCAGACTTTTGCTCTCAGGTGGACCGAAAGCTTGCGGGATCCGCTGGATCCACCCTTGAACTCTGAGAGTCGACGGACGAGTTGACGATGTTGGAGTCTCGACAGTCACTCAGTCGCTGTCAACCTGAGTACGTCTAATTCGAAGTTTTGGACAGAGACAAGTCCTGTGCATCCTTGATGCGGGCACGTTGGGTAGAATCGGGTAGACTCATGCTGTCCGTTTCGTCTCTCTTCGCGCCCTTGCGCCATTGTACAGAGATCGGATCCAGGAGTGTCAGTCCCAGACTGAGCTGGGACGAGAGACCATCAGACTCTCAGAGGGTCTGTCATTAAGCATGATGCAGATGTTTGGGGTGTCTCTCAACATTGTCCTTGGAGCTTCATGACATGATCCGAACAGACCAGAACCATCCAGAACCTTGGAATTGCCGCAATTTGCAGCTGCTTCGGATTAGTAGTAGTTGGTAGGTAGCAGTGGGAGTTGCCAGTCATGCAGCAGCTACACCAGGCCGGTTCATGCACAGAACAGCAGTGGTGCTCGTCAAGCGCAAAGCTGGCTTTGCAGACTCTTTCAGCATGCATCAAATCCCAGTCTGATCATTTCAAAGCGAGTTTAAGATCTGTGTTGGTGGCTTTGAGATGTCAGAGTGAGAGCTCCAATGTTTGGCATGCTGAATCGTCGTGGTAGCATTTGGTAGCTTGAGATTCACTCATTTGTTCAGCCTCTCCCTCTTCGTCCAAACTCCGCAGTGCACAGAGCTTGAGCCTCAGAGAGGTTTGGCTTGAGGACCAAAGCAGTTCGTTCATGTCGTTCGCTCCAAGGCAGTCTATACAGGTGCACCTCAGGGTGCTTTTCAGCGACTTGGCAGATATTTCAATCGCAACATCATTCAACTTGGAATGATTTGTGGATACTTTCGATTTGAAAGAGCACACCAAGGCATAGGGGCGACAATCGGGAGGCAATGCTGCAGATTCACCCCGGCATGGCGTAGACTGCAATAGATTAAATATTTAACCATCAATGTCAAGGTGTGTCACGGTCATGGTTTGTATTCCCACAAGATCTTGAAGGTTTGCCTGTGTCGTTCAACGGGAAAGCTTTAATTTTATAATCATATATATATATATAATTACTTCAAGTCTTCTTTCCGGTTCCAAATTACTCGCTGCAGCTGTGGATCGAGTTTCATGTGCAGGCTACCCAATGATCGAATCTGTCAACAAATCGAGGCAACTCGAAAAAACCGTAGGCACATGTGAGCATATCATAGCATGTCATAGCATATTTGAAGGATTCGGAAGTAAGGACAAAGTAGGTTGGACCCAAATGGATTGCCCGATCGATCGTCATTCGCGTGCGACCGCCCCTGCGCACGGCTGGACTCTCAGCGAGCTGAAAGTATCCGCTGGGCCATGCTGGGCCATGCTGGGCCTGATCTTAGCTTTCAATTCAACATTTGTGCACGGCTCCGCAGCGCTTGAAAAAGCTCACTTCGGTGAACTAAACCTAGCTCACAACTTGCTCACTGTCAAGCACCTCCGGTTTTCATAGACTTTCATAGACTTTCTCTATCATAGGTGTGCCCACTCTCACTTCACCTCAGACTCAGCGCAGAGACGCAACGAAGTCAGTTTCACCCACAGCCCAGTCACGATCCGACTTTCGGATCGCCTGAGCAACGGACCAGTGAGTCGTACGGACAACGGTGCCGGACTTCCAGGGCAGATTGCAGTCAGTTCACTAGATCTCACATTCAATATCAAAAGAGATGCTAAAATCATTTTAGACTGACATGGCAACTGACATTCGCTGTTTTGCTGGATCACCTCATCGACCCAGCCAACTCCAGTCCGTTGCTCATCCCAGATTTTGCACTCACTTGCCATGGCCGATGCTGGAGCGGATGTGCCACCTCAGGTGTGGACAGGGGTCTGGGACAGTCCTAAGGGTGTCCTAAGGGTGACGGACGTTGGCCGCGTTGGGTTGGTTGGTCCCAATCAATGCGACTTCCAGGCCAATGCAGCCGCCGAACTTCGACCGGGCCACCTGGCATGGGCTCCCAGAGGGCGAACGCATGGAGGGCGAACGCATGGCGACGGTGCACCGTATCTCAGGTGGAGGTGAATGGCGGAAGCCTCATGGGGAACCGTATTCTCACCAAGTTTCAATGAAACAATATGAAACCACCAGCAAGTTCACTGAGGCCTGGCATCCGAAAATGGGAAACTGCTCAATGGCCAGAGAGGCCTTTTGTGTGAGTTTCTGGAGGCCAGGCTGAACAGGGATGAAAGGATTGTCGAACGACGCCATGAAAGTGATGCAAATGCGATCAAGATCTGTGTGCGAGGCCACAGGAAGGTGGCAGGTTCGAATCGGTGGAGAACTTAGAATCCACCACTTTTCTAGTCCGTTGGATTAATCACAACAGCCAGTGGGTTGAAGGCCGTGAACTTGTTGCTTTCCTTAGGTGAGAAGCTTGTGAGCTTGAAGCCTGTAAATTTGAAAAAGGCACGCTGAGCAAGAGCAACTGCTGAGAACTTGCAATATTTCTTGTACCGAACAACTGGCATCAAAAGAACAAAAAGCGCCATCAGACGATCGGGTTCAGAGAGATCGGGTTTGCCAAGCGCCAGACGATCTCAAGGCTGAGCTCTTTTCTTCGATGCCGACTGCACCGGAACCTGTGCAACCTGAAGCTGCGGAAGCTGGCACTGAGACGGCACAGTTGGATGCCCAGTGGGTCGAAAGCACAGAATACCCGTGAATACCCTCGGATCGAGCTGCTCTGTGTCGTTTCAACGCAGGACACAGAATTTCATGCGCATCAATCACATGCACGGAGAATGATGGAACACGAAGCACTGCAGTTCCGTCAGGGTTTTCATTGTTTTCATATGCATGAACCTTGCAGACCTCCTTCCGATCAGCCTGAACCTTTCTTATCATATCTCATCGATGCGCCATCGTAACTTGTGAATGTGATAGCTCAAGGACAACAACTAAGGGTAATTCATCGGACTAATGAGGCCAGCTTCACCATTTGTTCCAGCACACATTTGATGAATTTGGATGCTATCGGGTTCCGGTATGATTGGCTTTTTGATTTTTTTGTTCCCTTTAGGCCAGAGAGGCGCAGCCGGAGCAGAAGCCGGAGACACAGATTCAACTGATCAAAATCATGAATCAACGGATGGATGTAGTTTTAACAATTTGGTTCCTGGACGTTCCTGGTAGTTGCAACGAAGTTTTGGATGCTTAAACAGTCTCAAACAGTTCTCATTGAGGCAGCAGCAGTAGCAGCAGCTCTTCTTCTTCCCGGTCCAAAGAGAGGCAGATGATGATGATGATGATGATGATGATGATGATGATGATGATGATGATGAGACGGCGCCGACGCCGCGCACATGTGCTTCGAGTTGGTTTTGTGCCCTACCGATCACTACCGAGCTACTGCATTGTTTTTTGATATGCTTCTTGCAGGGAAGAAAAAAAGGAAGCACCTCTCAAAACGGGCGAGGAGGATGGCACGCTGTATGTCTTGCTTGCACTAGAAGCCGGTCTTTTGATGTTTTTTTTTGGCCATGTTTGTCCAGAAACACAGTCTATTGACTCGTCGTTGAAACATCGCAATGTTCTTTGAAGCAAGCTTGCAACCAACGACAGGTGGAGATCTTTGGCTTAAACTCGGACGCTGGCAAGGCCTTGAACGGCCAGAAGGTGCCCTGCGAGGGTTTTTGCATGTTGCAAACGAGCAATTGCGGCACCGCGCTTTCACTTACCGCAATCATTGGCTGCACTAAAGTATGTTTGTGGGAATCTTGGATAGTCTTGGGCTAAGCTAAGTTGTATTAATATAGATCTTGTATGATTTTGTAGCATTTGGATCTCTCCACTCAAAGATGTGGGACTCCTTTGTTGCAGGGTGTGGTGACCGAGTACGAAGCCGACAAGGATCGCTGGGAAGTGATGATTTCCCTGGAGAAGGCGGGTCACGCGGAGCGTTTACATTTCAAACCGAGGGATCTTGCTTGGATATTGAAGCGGAATTCGAGCAACACTTATGCTAACTGGCTAACCGCTCTTTTCAATTCTTTTCATATCTTTTTTCAAATCTCCAGTGAACAGTGTGTCAGACCGAGGCCTTTCTTTGTAGACACCTCGTTCGACGACCGACTTCGCTCGCCTCAGGTGGTGAGCTTGCGACCCCGGAACCTCCGGCGCTCCAAGCCGCTGCCGGGAGCGGTGATGCCAGGGCTCGACGCCTCAGATCTCTCGCTGCTTCCGAGCCAAATGTTGGGCGCTTCAAACCAGTTCCATTTTTGTGCTGAAAGAGAGAAACGATGAGAAAAGTATCTGATATAGGAAAGGTTATATACAGTATATAGATCTCTTCAATGACTGACATGATCTTCCAGCCTCAGGCGACCTGTAAATGGTCCCAAGAAGACGGAGGGGCGGCACCCTCAGGGTGCTCAGACTGAAAGTCTCAAGGTGTGGGCTTTGGTTGACTTGTTTTGTATCGAACACTTTGGAAAATTCGCTGCTGGCAAGTCCAAGTTGTCAATCTGAGTGATCTCAAGACCACGGAGATGAGGTCCCTAGCCTCACTTTTGGGCATGGGAAAGCCGAAGGACGAGAGCAACCATGTTGAGGCTGAGCACCCGGAGACGACTTTTGCAATACATCGGTTAAGACTGTGACAGGAAAAGCCATTGATAGCCAATTGGCATGCTTTTTCTTGGCAGGGATCATCAGATATTTGAAGATGAATTCCATTTGCATTCAAGACACCTGTTTCTCAGTTGGCTGTGATTGTGCACGCTTTGAGGCGGCGAAGTCCGCGCAGCAAGATCCTCAGAGGTCCAAAGGTCCAAAGAAGAAACGTCATGGGACACCGAAATGAACCGCCAAGGGCACAAGATCATCGCCCTGTTTGTAGCGTCCTTGTTACTAGTAGCGATGCCACGAGCCCCTAGTAGCTTCTTGTTCCTAGTAGTAAGGCCAGGAGCCCCTAGTAGCGATGCCCTGTTTGCCACCTTTAAGCCGTCACAAGAGAACCTCAAAGGCCCTCCCCTGGCATTTTCCTCTCCAGGTGGCAATCTGTGTGGGCCAGGACCTCCGCTGAGGCGGGAGCTGAGCAACACCTGAGGCCACTCCGCGGCGTCGACGCGTTCGGTCCCGCCCATTCAGGTCCGAGAGTCTTCGGTTCCTCCAGCTGCTGCGATGAGCAGGGAGCCAAGTGGGGACTGTTTCGGGCGAAGGGGAGCAAACGAACGGAAAAAGGCAAAGGCAAAAGGGAAGCCGAAGCAATCAACAAGCACTGTAAGTCCATTTGCAGAAGCAGAAGCCTTGAGCCAGGTGCAGAGCAGATCTCGCCAAAGCCATAGTCCAGATGCGACATGAGGGAGTATTGAAACCCTGACACTACCACAAAAGACCAAAGACTGGGTTTTACTTTGAGGTATTTGCAAGGCTTTCAAAACGAGAATGAGAAGGCGCGAAATGATATTGCGCGATGGGAGCATCTCCCAAAGGTTTAAGTCACTGAAGTGAGGATGGCGGCAGGTTCTGACATCCGTGCAAAAACCCAACTATGGGGCCAACCCATCTACATGGACACTGATGTACAGCAGATTGACATGACCGGATGGTTTGCCAGGCCGAGCTGAAACGACGCCGGCGTGAATCCAAGGTGCCAATGTTCACGGCTGTTGCCACACATAGCATGCTGACATGTCGAACCGCATTGGTATGTGTGTCATTTTGCAGAAGTCTGTGGTCATTCTTTCTTCCAGAAGCTCCTCAGACAGTGCCACGTGCTTGCATTTGTGTCCGCCAGATCCGCCGGGAGCTCGTCATGCAAGGGATCACAGATGAGGAGAGATACGACCGAGAAAAGCAAAAGTGGAGGATAATATGAGTCTAGAAAGCAGATGAGTGCAGATGCCGTGCAGGACATGGTTCTGGAGGCCGGGGACCTTTATGGTCTTGGACGTAAGCATTCTGCTAGAAAGGTTGTCACCGGAGCGGAAGCTCTGATGCTCGATCAGATGTGGGGCATCAGGCATCAGATGTGTTTTTTTTGGATTCTTTTGTTTTGCAAACATCAGTTCTGGAAGGGCAACAGATCAAGAAGGGTTTATATTCTTTTGATGTGTCTAGATGTATGAAAGACGTTGGACTTCGTTTGAGCGCAAAGCCCGCGTGCAAATATCTGGCGTCCCCCAAAAGGATTCAACAGTATTATACACACATACACAGTATATTCAGTATATGATCTCGAACATTTTGTATCCCAGGTTTAAGTTCCAGATACAGGGAAGCCGACCTTGCCTAAGATTCAAGCAGCTTCAGCAATTCGACAGGTCATCCAACAGCGGGAGGAAGAGCGCAGGCAGAACATCCTTTTCCGTGGCGAGGCGGGGACACTGGGCAGGCTGGGTGCAGCATTTTGGGGGTTCCCCTCAGTTCCCCTCCGAGATCCTCCAAGCTGTTTGCACATTGGATTGGAGCGAGCCAATCATTTCAGGTATGGAACTGAAGTCATACGGCGTTTCCATACAATTTCCAAGACATTCTTGTTGCAAATCCCACTTGCCAACCGGGGTCGCACCACGAACCCCGCGGTTCGCTTCCCCTGGTGGGTTGCTGCGCTTCGGTCGAGTCGAGTCGCGTGGCCGCCGCGAAGCTTCACGCTCCCAGGTCGATGGACCCAGGGAGACTGGTTTTGATGGCCACGTGCGTTTTCGAGGGCGTTTCTTCTTCGGCGGTTTTTTTGTTTTCCGTTCTTTTCGGGATTCGTTCTTTTCGGGTTGTCGCTGGTGTTTTTGCAGACTGGGCAAACTGGGGAAGGTCGGGCCATTCGCTTTGCGAGACATTCTCAGGAGAGCATGGAGAGCGGAGCTCTCGAAATGCAATCGATGACGGCCCGAATCTGCTAATGGCAGTGGTGGCAACCTAAACTCTGGCAGCGCAGACCAAGGAGCACCAGGTACTGGGTCAGAGCTGCTGAATTAAAGACGCTATGGGGACTGACTTCCCTTTCAGAAAGAAAGAATGTTTGGAAAGAGTTTGCCCACCTATTGTGGCATGGAGGGCAGACACTGAGCAAGAAACCTCAGAAATGCCATCGGCATCTGCTGAGGTAGCCATTGAGGAGCAATGCTCACCTTAGTTCACAGAGCACTGCTGTTCGAACACCATCCTTTGCGCCTTGGCTTGTGGCTTGGAAGCCACTTACTGCCAACGTGGTCTCTGGGCTGCTTTCTGGCAGTTACTAAACTCTACCTTTTGCAGCAAACCAACCGCTTTTCTTTGGACTAGCAGCTGTGACAAAAGTGGGTGTGGGTCAAAAAAGAGGTCTTGCTTCTACAACCCAGAACTGTTGACCACAGGGCTACAGAGATGAAAGGTTGTTTTGAGTTTTGACCCACTTCCATTTTCCAAAGCCCGTGTCACACGTGTCGTCTGACCGTGTCGTCTGGTGGGCCATTTGCCGCCCTTCAGGTCGCGAAACCGTTGCCTCTTGGAGGTTTCGTGCGCGAAAGAAACATCGTCAGAGGTCCATGTTTGCCGAGAGATCTCAGTTTTGGGAAGACATTGAGACATATTGAGACCTGGAGCATAAACTAAGTGCAGCAAAACATTGCAAGAATCTTTTGTGATCATGGGTAAGGAATCAGGAAGGTCTCTGAGGTTGCATGCTGGCTTGTTTCTGGACCAGATCATGAAACACATCCTGAACGCATAGGGCATTTGTGATATTTGTGCACGTGTCTCCTTTGTACATATTAAAGATGTATACAGAATTACAGAATGTGTGGTGTTGAGAGATTAGGGAGATTAGGAAAGATGCAACGTCCTCCAACTACTAGCCACGGCCTCCAACCTACTACTGGTAGCGATGACCTCCAACTTAATAGCACTGAATTGAAACCTATGGGGAATTCCCATGAAACCTATGGGGAAAACCGCAGTATTCGGTATCACCTTGGTTCGCCCCGAGAGTCTTTTTGCACAAGGTTCGTCAGGGGCACCTTCGCTGCAGCGCAGGATTTTGGCAAATGACACAATTCATTTTATGATTTTGCATGACCTGTGTGCTGCTTCATGGAATTTAAACGCTTGGACTTACAATGATTTACAGTAAATAGATTTAACTAGTGCATGAATTGAGCTGTCGCATTTGCATAAGAAGATTTAAGCATTACCAAAGTGCTTTGTCTTGGCCTTTCGCCGAACTCGCTTTCTTTCGGTGGCCGCGTTTTTGCCTGGCCATCTTGCAGACACCCAGGGCTGGCGCTGGTGCCCATCCTGGCAGCGAAATTTGAGTGTTTTTCCCTGCTTTTTCGTCCAATCCCGGGACAGGCAGCTGTCTCCGACAGCGACTCATCACGGTCAGGGACTTGGGGGAGCGACTTCATTGGTGTCATTCCGTTTTTTGTGGCGAGAGTTTTCATGTTTTCTTCCTTCTTTGATGCGCAAAATCATTGCTGTGGTTAATTAGCCTGAATCACTCCATGAAGTCCATACCACAAGTTGATTGTAGACAATAGGTCCAGTAATATCTGTGGAACTCAGATTCGCATTCAGCACAATGGCCGCTGCTAAGGAGTGGAGATGGCCCGCAGGCCATTCCAACAGCTGAAGCCAAGAGTCGGAAGAGGCCAGTTCTTGTTTGGTTTTCTTTACGCAGTTCAGTGTTGTAGACTTCAGTGATCCAGGTCACCCTCCAGTTCTTCGAGTGAATCAAGTACCTCAAAAAAGCAAAAGGTCTGACCGTGCGGATGCTCGGACTCAACAATCAAATACAAAAAGACAAAAAGACGCTACTAGGGGCTCCTGGCATCGCTACTAAGGAGCAAGGACGCTACTAGGGGCTCTTGGCCTCACTACTCGGAGCAAGAAGCTACTAGGAGCAAAGGGCATCGCTACTAGGAGCAAGGACGCTATTAGGGGCTCCTGGCCTTACTACTAGGAGCAAGAAGCTACTAGTAACATCTAGTAACTATAGTAACAAAGGCAATCAGATACAAACACTCGGTGCCTTTCAGTTCTTTTTCTGAGGTAGCGCCACCAAGCCATCTGAATGTCCCAAAGCAGCTGACGGCGTCGAAAGAAACAACAACCTGCAGATGAACTTCTTGTTGTGACTGTTCAAGATGCAGTTTTGCAAAATATTAACACCGTGAGTCAAGAGCCAGGGCCAGCTACAGTATGTCAAGATAGGATGCATTGGACTCAGAGAAGCAACTATTGTTTCGAAGATTTCAATCCTCTTTCGTCGCCAAACGCAAAGCTTTGCAAAGATGGGCTGGTACCGCCTGAAGCCCCCAGCAGTGGCACAGAGCTAGCTGCATGCCACAGATCAGTGATGCTTCGATGCCACGAATCCACACGGAGTCCTAGCAGTTCTACCACGCAGTGAGATCGCGGTCTGAGAACCACACCGCTGCGATAGTGGTGAACGCTGGTGATCCGAGAGAGCGCGTTGATGCGCTACAAGAAAATGGTCCGCTTAGCATCCTGCATGACAACAAATAATAGGTTCATCATTTGCATGTGTATACAGCTGGCACTTTTGAGTACCACTCATGACACTTTAACATGCAGTCAAGACGGCTTCCGGAAACAGTGATGATAAGGACAGCGAGTGAGCTATCATTTGCTAAAACCTTTATGTACCTTTATTAGAACACAGCTTGCAGCTTCCACTTGCCCGACCGATTCACTATGAAAATCACATGAATAGTTGCAGCTGAGTCCCTCTTGCCAAGGCTGCATCGATGTGGTTGGCAATGGCGGCATGTGTTCAATGTTCTTGGATGTTTTGAGCATTCGAACATGGCGCTGGATTCTCTTTCACTACAACTTAGGAAGTCAACTTTGATGTTTTGGTCCATCGAGACCCATCAGAATTTTGCTGTGATTTTTTTGTGGCTCAAACGATTTACATCTATTTGCTATCTTCACGATGCTACAGCCGAATTTAGGCTTTTGTACTTCAGATTCCTACTTTTTCCTGTGCCACACGTTTTGTTTCTTCAACATACTGTACCACTGAATGCCCCTCACTAAACCAAACCAGGATAGCACTGCTTCTTGCCTTTCTGCAGCGAACTGCTGAAGATCCGAAGACAACCCAGCTTTGTGAACTTGCATCAAACCAACACCCACAGCCATGGTTGCTCAAAGGACAAGCGAGGCGCAAAGTCTCAGAGAAAGAGAGAGAGAGAGAGAGACAGCGAGAGAGCGATGAAGTGCACAGCCAAGTTGATTTGTGGTTTGAAGTTGATGCTCATACGGCAGGACAGATGATGAGTATCGATTGCCCTGAAGATGAATCACTGGTGCCTGCCAATCGTGGCATTGTCAGCGCCTTTGATATTGAGAGGTTGGACATTGCAGCTTTTCGGAGCGCGTTCGACGTGCTGGAAGGATTTCCGGGCAGTTTGGCAGCTGACCTCCATGTCGCTGGGCGTTGGAGTGTTTGCCATCCCGTCGGGAGTCTCAGCAAGCGAACCCTGAGATGTAGCCGCTGTTGTCGCATTCTGCTGCCGCTTCTAGGTTCCTAGTAGTACGGCCAGGAGCTACTAGTAGCGTCCTTGCTCCTGGTAGCGATGCCCTTTGCTCCTAGTAGAATTTTCTTACTTATAGTAAGGCCAGGAGCCCCTAGTAGCGTCCTTGCTCCTAGTAGCGATGCCCTTTGCTCCTAGTAGCCAAGGTATTGCTTTCACGTCCTCGGAGTTTTGCAGGGAGGTCTTTTCGTTGTGGTCCTTGCACTTAGTCCGGCCTTGTTGGCATTGTGCCTTTCGAATCCTCGACTGGTGAGATGCCGATGCCGCAGCCATTCGTTTCCTTAAGGGAGTGGATTGAGCATGAAACTGAGAGAATTGGGGAATTCCAAGACCTACAGACCTGGCTGAAATGTAGCTTTGAGAAAGATGCAAGCCGCTGGCAGCGGCCGGACCTGCTAGGTTTTACTCTTGGGAAGTCTCCACACAATTTCGGGGCCTTTGGCCTTTGCCCTCGCCATGTCACCTCAACCAGACATGATCAGCTTCCATGGGTGGACCAGGTTGAATGAAACCTCCTTCCTTCTAAAAGTGCAGGAAAGCAGCGGCTTTCAAAAGCTAATTGGAAGCTACAGCAAATCGTTTGGTGTGCCTCTGGATGACAACAACCTTCAAGGCTTTGCTGAGGAGATGTGCAGGTGCTGCTTGAGAGAAGCAGATGATGTGATGTTCGATGATGGCCCGCTGGCAGCAGCTCTGCAAGAGGTCCAGCACTACAAACAGAAGCTGAATGAGTGCAACCTAGCAGCGGTCAAGCAGATTGCGGCAATGAGAGATGGATGCCACTTGAGTGAATCCCTCAAAGAAGACACTGTGAACTTCCATGAGCCATTAACCTTCATGGATGAGGAGCAGCAGAGGCTTGTCATCGCTGTGGTTTGCGACAAGATCCGACAACTTCAAAACGGGACTGCACCACCATCCCTTGTGGAAGCTTTGACGCGATATGCAGAAACCATTGTGAAGCAGGAAGAGGCTGCAGGTTTGGATGAGATCCTGGAAATTCAGTCTGGTCTCCAAAAGGTTCGCATTCAGAAGAAGGCTGTCCAAGTGAGGCTTGAGTATGCTGAGTCGGAAAGTTCAAAGCTTCGCAAAGAATTGGAGGACCTGTGGCAATTCATGGTACAGCAAATGTTCTAGGATCTAGGCATCAACCAGCAAGAAAATTAATAAACTCATCGCAACTGATTCATTCTGAGTACCATTGCAGTAGCGCTCTGTCATCGGGTGTGAAAGGAACCCCATCCGCAGGAGGTGAGAAGCACCTTGGCTGATACAACCAAAGCCTTTGAGGAACTGAAAGAGCAGGAACCCACCTGGCAAGAAAGTTTGGAGGAGCTTCGGGACTTGACCGAACATCAAAAGGCTGAGCTAGACCAGCACCGTGAGCACATTGAAAATTTGATGTCCGCAGTGGAGCGGCGTGAGAAGATCATCCAAGAGCACGCAGAAGAGACACATCAGCTTCTGGGCAGTCCTTTCATGATATTCGATTGGGCTTGGGTCCGTGTACATTCTTTTGCAATTTTTGCTGGCTACTTGTGCAGTTTTGTATCTCTAAGTCCTTCCCATTTGCACCTGCACTCATTAGAGACAGGATAGTAGACAGGATGTATTCACTAAACTTCTTCCTGATTCAGCTTGCTGAGGCTCCAAGAAGAGCTTACCACTGAGCGTAGCTCCAGAGAGGCATTGCAAGCAGAGCTTGCAGAGGTGCAGAAGGTGTCCGCGCAGCGACATGGTCAGCTGGAGGATCTACGTTGTGTAATGCGAGGAATTGAAATTGAGCTGAGCTCTTGTGAAGAGAAATGTCATCAGCAGCAGATGGACCAAGAACGCCTTCAAGAGGAGCTGAAACAGATGGAGGATGAACACTTTTGTGAGCGGCAGCGCCTGCAGGAAGATCTGGAACGTCTTTTTGAGCAGCATGCTTCTTTGACACAAGAGGCAAATGAAATGAGGGAGGAGCTTGACAGAAGGAACAACACAGAAACCCAAGAGACTCAAACTGAGACAGGTGGACCAGTATTGCAGGAACTGCTGGGAGACGGCAACCGGCTTCGAGTCATGATTGAGGAGTTGCAGATGAAGTTTCGAGATGTTTTGGAAAGGTACCGACAGAAGTTTGGCAGTAAAGCAAAGGAGCTGGCTGCAGAGACTGGCATGGATGAACTTCTGAGATCTTTGGCTGAACAAGCCGAGCTTATGAGTTGTATAAGAAGCCTTGGATAAGTGCAGCTGCCAGCACGTGCTTACTAGATATCTCAGCTCTGTGGTGGGGACAGCATAAACATGCAGGTACTGGATTTGATGTGTAAACAACATAACTGCGATATATGTATATATACACGGTAATGTTGCTGATTAGAATTCACAATTCCTTAAAGATATTGTCGACAAGGAAATATGAACAAACGAAGCTCAGAAGCGGCGGCGGTTTCAGCAAGTTTACACACACAAGGAGAGGAGACTGCCTTTCAGCGTCTATATGATGACGGCCTTCTCCGTGTTCAGCGTTTGGAGAAGTTGCGGGAGAAAGTGCGCAAAGAACGGAGCAGGCTTGGCTTTATGGACAAAGCTGAGGCGGGCTTCAATGCAGCTTTGCACAAGTCTTAAAATCCAGCGGACAAAGTTTTTGTGACCCAACGGCAAGCGACCTAACGATCAACATTTAGCGATCAACACTTAACTTAACATCATTGCTATTTTGACACTGTAAAGTGAGGACACAACCAGCCACCACAAACGCCAGGCGTCTGTTCTAGCTTCAGTGGAGCAAAGTGACCTGAAAGGCTCGATGCAGTTGCCGCTTCCAGTGATTCATGAGACTGCTGAGTCATTGCACTGGTTTTCCTATCGGCTTTCTAGGGGTTTCTCCGTGTTTGGGTTCAGTTTTTGAGGTGCAAGGCAGATCTTGGCGGGAACAGAGAACAAAGAGAGCAAGGTCAGTGAGAAGGGCAATGGCCACAACCGCGATGAGGCGCATGGTTCCCAGAAAACCAAGGGCAAACTTTGGGGCAGTTCATGTGTTTACTGTAATCCTTGCACTACCCTGTCCCAACGTCTTTTTCGCCAACGACAAGACCTAGGGCAAATCAATTTTTCTTCCTTACGTTATTTTTTTCTGAACAAGTAACAAGAAGATCCTGAGTTTTTTAACCCCACCCTGCGATCGCCATGCGTGAGGCAGGGCATTCGTCTCCTCCAAGAGGTCCACCTGAGGCCCTGGGCCGAATGAACTCTTCAGTCTTTTGGCGAAGGGGTGGGCAAAGGCCAGAGATCTGGAGGTCGAAGATGGTTGAATAAAATACATGATGTTGAAGAATGTTGAAGAATCAATTACAACATGACTACATCAGAAAAGGAACACCGTGCACCTTCACAAAGAGATTTCAAAGACACAGCCACCAGGTGCAACCTGGGTCATGGGTACATACTGTACATACAAAGACATAAGACATTTAGCCACAATCAAAATACTTGTGCTAGTTGTTTAGTTAAAAGATGGTTGGACATCAATCATCATCCAAGCACAGCAAAGCCGCGATTTTTTGTTGAGGTCTCGTTGCCTTCGCTGCGCCGAAGCTGCAAATCCAAAGCAAGAGGTGTACTGCAAATCCAGTTGACCGGGGTCTATTGGGTGTGTTGGTGTACGTGATAAGATTCCATTGCAAGACAAAAGTTTCGCAGGGACTAAGACAAGCCAGAACTTGTGTACAAGTCGCTAAGGTAGCCAGAACTTGTGAACTTGTGTACAAGCCAGACTGGGCCAAGGCAGCTAGTGGGCTAAGTTATACTGTAAGGCTTTGAGACTGGCAAAGGGTCATTTACGCCGAGGCAAGCGACACCATCAAACCTCAATGTGATGAGTCTGAACTTAGATTCGTCTCACAGAGGCTACAGGAGGCATTCCAAGTCGTGAAGACGCTGTAAACAGGCTGACTCGGCAGTTTGCATAGTGGGATACATCTCAAATGCCTTTGTAAAAGCAACGCTCGTGCTTTGTTCTATTCTATCATATTCAAATTATATCAAATTATTCAATCCATTTGATCAGGTGGATTTGCCGTGACACAGAAATCCCACTGTGCACCACGTAGCAAGCTGCCCGTGGACGATGCGACACAGGCAAAGCCTGGCTTTCGCAGAACCTTGCGGAGCGACGTCCGAAACGCGTTGTGGATGTCCAGGATGACGCATGGTAGATGCGTCAACCTAGACGTGTTGATGCTTGGAAGACACCAACGAAGACTCCCAAGATCCCCAAGACAGTTGTCCCCACTTCTTGCTAGTAGTAACAAGTGCCTTACTAGTAGTAACAAGAAGCCATTAGTAATTTAATTCAATTTTGTTTTAATTAATAGCATTTTTGCTACTACTAGTAAGGCACTTGTTACTACTAGCGTGGCACTTGTTACTAGTCGGTTGTCCCCACTTCTTGGGGAATGGTTCGGTCCGATGGACATCCGGATGATCGGATGTCTCGTGACTTGGACCCCTCCGAGGTCTTGGGCTTCTGTGCCAACACAGCCGGAGCCCTAAGAGGTCAACTAGGGCCAACGCTGGAGCGACCCGACTGCCTCAGCAGAATTGCTGATCGAGATGTGGTGACAGTCCGAAGAGTTGAGAAGTAATATGATATGATTTCATGATTAATTGATTTCATGATTTCATATCGAGTTCGGAACGTTTGTCCTTGGATTTGATCACAGGCCATCGAGCGGCTTCTTGACTGCGCTCAGATCCATTCCCGCTCAGAGTACGAGGCGACAGCAGCTTTTGACCAACTTTCAAGCTGCACAGTACTTAGCAGCTTCAATGGGCGGCGTACTCATTACTGTGGACTGTTGATCAATAAACATTCCCCATAATATGAAGAGGTTGTTCAATCCAAATTTCGGGGGTATTAGTACAGTATTAGTCAATATGATCAGAGTTGATTCGATCGCATAAACTTGCGTTGTCCGAACCAGATGTTGGATTTCACGCAACGAGAGAGGAGTGCAAGTGGCAAGAACTTTTGCAGGATCTTGACGTTTAAGAGTTTGACAGGAAATTGCTAACACAGCAATGGGCAGAGGAGGTAAGCTTGCCATGGCAACGATCTCAGCATGGATGTTGCTGTGTCACCAACTCTTTGAACTTTGGACGTTCATGGCTAGAAGCTCTGGTTGACCCGCTTCTCACTTAGGCATTTGTCATCGGCATTACGACCTTTATTGCGCCAACCTTGGCTTTTGCACATATAACATATAACTCCTGCTCTTGAAGTCTAACTGCGGGCTCATGGGGGCCCCATGAGTTCCAGTGTTCTCGTTATGCCATGTTGACTTCGTGGATTTGTCTGCGGGTGAGGCCTCGTTGAGCTATTTAGCTGCTGCCACGGAGCTCCTGGTGCAAAGCTCAAGACATGTGTTGAACAATCTGGACCATTTCAAAATCATTTGCATGAAAATGACATCGTCTTCTTTGGCGCAACTAGTATTTGTATCCACTTGTACATTGTACGGAGAGTTCTTCGTTCTGTGTCAAGAGAATCTACTGTAGTTCCTTGGTGTTCTTTTTGGCTAGTACCAACATGTTTTTCCGTCCTGGTCAAAGGTCTGTGTGGTGTTTGCATTCTTAACTGGTCCATACCTTAGTTGGCGCAGTTAGGAAATCAACTTTATATACTTGTTCCTTCAGAACGATGAGGCGAAGACATCAACAAGAGAGGCCAATCTTTGTCCGCTCATCCGCAAGCCCCGCTTGACTTCAGATAGCACTTAGCCCCCTTTTTTTCAAAAGTCTATTGTAGTCGCCTCACCAAATGATCGCTTGCATATGCTTGCGTCAAGTTCTTGCAGGTGGCTCCACAGCCATTCTCAGCAAGACCAAAAGAGCCATCGTGTTGTCAAGCTGTCATGATTGTGTCAGCTAGGCCAAATGATTGCGCCACCCAACATCAGATGTTTTGAAGACAATTGCTTTTAGGTTGGAGGCCATCGCTATTAATCAGATCGGAGGCCATCGCTATTAGGTTGGAGGCCATCGCTATTAGGCTGATTTCCACGATTTTGGCATTGTTTCTCACATGACCTGAGTGGGCCGTCCGTTTCGTTTGGCGAATGTGACAGGCTTATTTTCGTGATCATCTCAATGCCGTCCTCCTCTCGGACATGTCTCGCACTTCTGTTCTTTATCCCATTAAACAGGTGTTCGGATTCTTCAGGAAGCTGCTGAAGAGATCGATGGGAGACAACGCCATTGTCTTGGGAGACAACTGCCCTGCGTTTTTAATGATGAATGGGTTGGCTTTGGGAGTGTTTTGCTGTGCCCTTCAGCAAGCGAAGCGAGGCCTACATTTCGAAGATTGGTGTCTTTTCCATGTCTGCAGTGCTGCTCTTACACGAGGGTTGCAATATGCTTGCCAATGCTCACACGATGCAACAGGCTAATGGGCCATGAGAAAGAACATTGAAATGATTGTTTGACATGCACTCTTGTAATTTGTTACGTCAACCATCTATCTACATATGAGTTACATATACCATATATATATACAATATATAATCACTTTTTAACATCTTCTTTTTCTCCGTTTCGGTTCCAGCGCTGAACATCATTATGGAATGGCGCTAAGGCCGCTATAGTATTTGTTGGAAACTGTGTGGTGGTTCTTTCAGAAGGCTGCCAAGAGGAGCCCATGGGCCCAAGCAATTGCTTCGGCACAAGGGGTCAGAGGTCTGTCTTGAAGTGCGGCTCACTTTCAATGACTGTTTGGCCTTGAAATCTTCATTTGGCCTTGGTTTCAGAAGGAGCTCCCTCAAGTGTTTTTGTTTCCTCAGCGGGTGTGTGTGTGTGTGTGAGAGGAGCCTTGCCCAAAGCCTCCTCCTTTAGTTGGCGGCAACCCTCAAGAAGTTCTTGAGGACCGATCGAGAAGCAGACGGAATTCGACGCTCGACCCCCCCCCCAAAAGGTGTGTTGGTCTGTCATGGTCATTTGAACTCTGGTGCTTTTGGCGCAGAACATGGCTACGCTGGCATTCTCTTTCTCTATGGTTTTTGCCGTTTTTCCAGCCGAGAGCTTACCGGGTTTGGTCCTGCTCGTCCTGTAGATTAGCTCTTCGATTTCGGAGTGCTTTGCAGAGTTGCTGCTGTGCCAGTAAAGCAGACCCCTTGATGAAGCCCATGACGAGTGTGGCCGCATCGAACATGCCCGTCTGCTCGTCCCAGTTGGTTGGGGATAAAGCTGCAGCATGCGGGTCAGTGGAATCTGCTGTGCGGGCCCGAGCCATTCACCAGGACAAAAATGGAGAGATGAATGTTAGGGTGACCGGCGGTCAGGCGCAGTCAATGCGGGCTGTGGTCCGAACAAGCATAGCCTTCAGCCCTGAGCTTGGTCAAAGTTTGGTTTTGCCAGCCTTTGGCATTGAAGATGAGCTGAAGGTGTTTGCATCTACTTGCTCGTGGGCTTGACCGGGGCATTTGCCTATGGTGCTGACATCAGGCCAGTCCAGTGACCAGAGACATGCTAACTCCTGCACTGCACACGTTTTGAACCAGTGAAGCAACATAAATCTAATATATTATATATATATATTCCTTTCACCAGGAAGCTGTCCCTGCAAAACTTGCCAATTGAGCTGGACGCCCAGATGTGGTAAGTAATGAAGACACCGAACGAACAATGCTCGCTCATTTCAACGCGAACACTTGAATTGTTTGGATAAATTGTCCTAAGGTCCCCGCTTCCACAGGTGACTTGCGCAGCCTTTGCCCCAGAAAGAAGACTTCAACATTCCTTGCGCCGCCTTTGATCTGACCCACTTGGGACTGGGTTTTGTGCGCTTCCGACCACCCCGGATCAGGTGGCCGGAGTTTGTTCGCTTCTCCTCGTGGCCATTGTGGGATTTCCATGTATCGAGTCAATCGAGCTCTTCTTCAAAATGGTCTGGAGCCCAGCGATGATGCACATCTATTCAAGTCTAGAGTTGTGGGTTCCTTTTTGCGTGGGAACCATCGTTGTGAATCTTTACACATATTCTGTTCCTGGTCAACATTCCGTACGTTAGGTGGTTCATGATACACAAATTCACAATGTGTTGACACTGTCACGCGACGGAAGGCCCGCCCTGACAGCAGCAGAGATGTGCGGGTGGCCATTGTTTGCATCGTCCAACGCCCATTTGGCTTTGGACAGTTGAGTATTCCGCTGCGGTTCATGTTCATATCAATTTTGCAGAGACGCCCAGGTTGGGATTGCCTGTGTTGCAATCGATGCATTCATCGATACCAAGATTGCCTTTGCTCTAACAGGCAGCTATCTACGAGATTGTTAAGTAGGTTGGAGGCCATCGCTAGAATCGCTAGTATCGCTAGTAGGCGCAAGGACGCTACTAGAGCTCCTGGCCTTACTACTAGGAGCAAGAAGCTACTAGGAGCAAAGGGCATCGCTACTAGGAGCAAGGACGCTACTAGGTTGGAGGCCAATGCTTCTGGTGGTTGGTTTTCACCTGGCCTTGCACGGCTCCAAGAGATCCATTTGTCTCATGTTTTCTTGTTACTAGGAGCGAACATTGTTCCTAGTAGTAAGGCCAGGAGCCCCTAGTAGCGTCCTTGCTCCTAGTAGCGATGCTCTTTGCCCATAGTAGCGTCCTTGCTCAGAGTTTCTTTCTCCTTCGTCCACAGTTTTGTCACAAATGGCAGGTGCGCTGGGCTTGTCACTTGGAGCCTACGTTGGATGCCCAGGACACTTTGGTTATATACTTCACACATTCTGCTCACTCTCCCATCCCTTTTAATTGCATTTCCTTTCAGTGCTCAAGCTCCGTACTTTGGATTATCTCACGAAGAATAACGTGCGTGAAAACAACAAAACACGTGGTTTTTCATCAAGATCAAGTGATATCAACACCCTAGCTGTGGGAGTGCTCCTCTCACTCGCTGTTTTCTGGGGAATTGCGAAGTAGGACAAGGTACCCCACAGGCCAGTTAGGAGCTAGCAGCTAGCATAATTGCTGGGGGTTCCTGTCACCAGTCTCAAAAGATAATTCTTTAACGTGTCAGCGTTGTAATTAGGTTAACCTAGGCATCTGGAGTTGGGAACTATAGGACCCCCTTGCAGGTGCTAGGTTAAATGTTGAGGCAGCGGGTCCACGTTAAAAAGTGAGGTCCATGTTAAACCTTGTTGAATTGTCAGAACATAGACCTGAACTTTTCAGAGATCCTCACAGCCAATGTTTGTTTCTTTTTTGGTTTGAACAATCATTGGACCGACGGCACGGAGTGAATCGTGAAATCAAGCTCTTTTCCCAGGCACGTGAGTCTGTTTTTAAAATGCAACCCCCCCCACACCCCACCCTCTCTAAACAATCAAAATATATAAATATGTGAGTTTCAGTACAAACTCAAGCCACGGACATAAGATGTCCATATGAAGCTTGTTTCATGAGTTCCACTTCCTTTGCCATTATGGCCCTGAACCACCCTAGCGGTGGGAGCTGACAGCACACTTTGAGCAATGGCGTGAGAAAGAAGGGCACACGACTTCGTGAGCTGTGTCCGCCACTTCGTTTCCGGAGAACTTCGTTTGTCTCTGGGTTCCACTTGGGCTACCTAGCTTTGCTACCTCTGTCCAAGTGACATTGGTAGCGGAGCGGTCATCCTCGGACCGCTCCCTGCCACTCCGCACTACAACTACAACCTCCACACCTTCCAGGTTCACTCCAACCTCCTCGGAAACTTCACCCACAACTAAAGCTTCTTCTTCACGCTCAGGAGCAGTGCTTCTTGACGGGCTCTACCTCCTTGTTGAGCGCTACCCCTCTGAGCTTGGCCTAGCTGGTGAACATCCTCTGCCTCACCTACTTGGCTGAGTATGTCATCAGAAAAGAAAGTCGAGCTTGACAATCATTCAGCTCGCGACAGTTTCATCCCGCTCTTTGATGGATCCCTAACGGGATATCGGGAATGGCGGAAGAGAATCACCATCTACTACAAGAAAATGACCTTGTCCAAGAGGCAAGGAGAGGCCATACTGAACTTGCTGGGCAGTTTGTCCGGCACAGGTTGGAAGCTTTGCGAGGACTTCAACATCGACAAAGCCGAGGATCCTGAAGCCCTGAACGAGATCCTGAAGATCCTTGACGGCTCCTTCCAGTATGACTCCAATGTGGAGATGCCAGCAGATTTCTCGAGCTACTTCGAGAACCTTGCTCGCAAACCCGGTCCTACACAGGCCGTGCAAGACTATCTCAAGTTGCTGTGAGGCCATCGGCGTGACAGTAAAGACGTTCGGCTATGACACAGGATGGAACTGTTGTCTCATCAGCGTGCCTTCCTGGCCCTTCAAGATGAGGAGATGCCGGACGAGGTCTATCTTTCTCCAAGCTGTGGTCCATGGCCCCGCATGCAGAACATCTCAGCCACCTCTGAACAGCGACAGGAGATCCTCCGGAACCTTCGAGATTGGCATCATCGCACCCATTTGCAGTTCTGCAAGCGTGTGTACCTCAAGCAAATCACTGCCGGGAGGCACAGCCACATCGAGCAGCCGACGTCCGCACTTTCTTGGGAGACAACTGCTCTTCAAGCTCTACCAGGCTACAAGGCCAGGCATCATCAATGCCAGTATGGTGCAGTCTGCATGGACACCGATCGTCAATGGAAGGCCGCTAAGAAGGATACCACCATCCTGACATCCAAGAGGATCGTGGCCGAGACGATGAACAAGCTCTGCACAGGAGCTCACGAACACTGCCGCCTAGAGGGCTACATGAAAGGCTTTGGCACTCATCGCACAGCCTTCATGGAGGACTATCAACCAGCTTTCTGCTCTACATTGGCTACCGCTCTGGCCAGTTCTGAACGACCTCAACTGTGGGAGAATGCTTTCGCTGTCCGCGAACACACTCAGTACCTCGGCAAGATCGTTGATCTACATGCAACTGGCAAGCAGAATGCACTTCGAGTTGTACAAAAGCTTCACCGCAACTTGGGACATCCTTCAGCCCAAGCCTTGGTTGACTTGCTGCATTCTTGCGGTGCCTCAACTGATGTGCTCTCCGTGGCCGAGAACTACCTTTGCAGTTCCTGCCTTCGCTACAAGAAACCGAACCAGCCGGCACCGGCTACAGTTCAGAAGGCAGACCACTTCAAGGGTGATGTCTTTTGGATCCGCACGGAAAAGAAGAAATGGCCCATTTTCACCATCTTGGATACTGCCACCAAGTATCAAGTCGCCTGTCAAGTGCAGTCAGAGCAAACCAGCGACTACATTTCAGCCCTGGAGCGACACTGGATCGCACACTTTGGCACTCCCGAAGAGCTTGTCACAGATGAAGGTCGCGGCTGGCTTAGTAATGAATTCCTCACCTGGACCGATGAGCACAGCATGGCTCACGAAGTCGCCCCAGGAGAAGCTCATGAACGACTCGGCCAGGTTGAAAGAAGACACTCCGTCTTGAGAAAAGCGATTGAAGTCTACATGCATGACCTCAACCTCGAGGGCAAGGATGGCATCCGGCAAGCACTGACCTACATCATGCCTCAGTTGAACGCCCAGCCGACAGTTGCAGGATTCTCTCCTACTCAATGGGCGCTTGGATATCAACCTGCGCAACCCGGTCTCCTTCACTCCGGTGATTGTGCACTCCATGGCCACGAGACCTTTGAGAAGCACTTACATCAACGAAATGTGGCAAAAACTGCAATCCTCCAGGCTGAGACCGATCGAAAACTGAGGAGAGCCTTGCTGCGACGCTACTCTGGCGTCAACCAGCGACTGATGGCAGGCCAACGATGTTTCTACTGGCGTGATGCTCAACAGCACGAACTCTGCTAAAATTCGATGGCGAGGTCCAGCCAAGGTTGTTTGCGTCGAAGAAAAAGACGGCAAACCTCAAACATACTGGTTGGCCCACAAGACTCAGCTGATCAGAGCAGCACCTCATCACGTACGACCAGATTTCACGGCCATCGAGGACACTGCTGTTGAGAATCTCAAGGATGCCACACAGACACTCCAACAACTGAAATCCCGAGGTGTCACTCGCTTCATTGACCTGAACAAAGCCAACAAGAATGACCTCTGGGATGTTGAAGAGCATGAGGAAGAGATTTCAGCCGACGAAGGCCCTGACTCCAAACAAAGACGCATTGAGGAGGCTCCCATCAATGATGGCATGGAGTACACACCCTCAGAGCCTCCAGAACCATCGGAGACAACAGGCAATCCTTCCTTCCCGGCACCGGCTCCAGAACCGCCAGAGCCCACAACACCTGGACCAATGCAGATTGAGCCTCGTGACCCTAGTGAACTATTGATGAACAGTCCGATCAGCCAGAACCCTCTTTGGAACCAGAGCCACCGACTGTGCCTCACACTCCAGTGAATTTGGACCCTGTGACCTCTGAGGCATTTCGACCGCCACCAGGTCCTGAAACCTTTCAACAGCAGCGTCTTCGACTGGATCGGCAAGAAACCTTGTCCTTCGGACCTCAACGACCACGACACCAGGAACAGCCGAGTCCATATCAGAAACCTCCGAGTGAAGCTGTTGAAATGGCCTTCGAAGTACAAGACCTGGATCAATCTCGACTGCCATCTGGATGGGTCTTCAACAAAGACACCCATAACCTGGAGCTGAAGCGCAAGCTGGCTGACTTCTGGGAAGTCAAAGGTGGGTGCCTCATCAGACACCACATCAGGCCTCGTTCAAAGAAGTTCATTCCCTCAGATCAAGCTGATCTACCAGTGCCAGTTGAGCATCTGGACAACATCCGGGTCACCATCTTCAGAGAACCTGGACAAGATCCTTCATCCACCACTGACCACTTCAAGACTGAGAATGTGTTCCGGCAACACTCCAAAGAAGCTCCAAAGAAGCTGCCATCGAAGTGGACAGGTTGCACCATCTTTCAGATCAAGGCCGAGACCCGACATGAACTGGGTATGACAGCCACCATGTCCACGAGCTCTCCAACCTCAGTTCGACTTATTCGAAAGGCAGCTCAGCAAATGAAGACGCAGCAACTGCGCCACATCAAGAAGGAAAAGTCAGAAATCCGCAAGAAGAACCTCGCCCAGGCTGAGCAGCAGCTGTTCTATGAGGCCAAATGCAAGGAGCTTTGCAGTTTCTTTGAATGTGGAGTTTGGGAGTTCGCCACCTCCGACAAGGCCGACACACAGAGAACCCTATCCAGCAGAATGTTGTTGAAGTGGGCGAAGAATCCTGACGGATCACCTCGAGCAAAAGCCCGTCTTGTGGTTCGTGGCTATAACGATGCCGATGCCTTAGCTGGTAATTTGGACACTCAGTCACCTACCGCATCCCGATTGGCCAGAAGCCTTCTCCTTTCCATCTCGGCAATGCTTCGTTGGCATGGCTGGTCAGCAGAAGTGGCAACGGCCTTTCTTCAAGGAATGCCCCAGACAAGACAGCTTTGGCTCAGGTTGCCCAGCGACTGCTTGCAGATCCCTGGATGCGGCCCAGAAACTCGCATGGCTCTCATCAAGCCCGTCTATGGACAACTGGACGCACCTCGACGCTGGTGGCAGGAAGCCACACGACGCCTCACTCAAGAAGGGTGGGTTCCACATGAACTTGATCCATGCCTTTTTGTGCTTCACCACAACAAGGATGACCACACCTCCGAACCATGTGGACTCATCGCCCTGCACGTTGACGACGTGCTTGGTGCAGGCGACAGAAGCTGTCCAACATACCTTGCCGCTGAGCGTCGCTTGAAGGAAGTTTTCGACTTTCGTAGCTGGCAGGAAGACTCCGAAACCATGGAATACTGTGGAGTTCTACATCATCGAGAGAACTTCGCTTGGACCCTGTCTCAGAAACACTTCCTCCAGAAGGTCAAACCAGTGACCATTCATCGAGGCCGCGCAGCAGAAGATTCCATGAACGACCAAGATAAGGCTCAACTTCGTGCTCTACTTGGAAGCCTTCAATGGCCAGCAGTACAGTCACAACCTCATCTTCAGGCTAGCTGTAGCCTGATCAGTGGTCAGCAGCGCAGCGGAAAGCTTCGAGCAATTGTCGAAGCCAACTCACTCCTCAAGTTCGCCAAGGAAAATGCTGTCGTGACCCTGAAGTATGAGCCCTTCGAAACCGTCAAGAAGCAACAGGACCTCCACAAGGTCCGGTTGGTGATCATGTTTGATGCCTCACATGCTGCAAGAGAAGATCATACTTCTCAAGGTGGCCATCTGGCCATGCTGGTCCCTGAGGAATCCTTTGAGCAAGAAACACCATACCATGTTGTTGACTGGCGAAGCTACAAGCTACCTCGCATCGCCCGCTCAAGCCTCAGTGCAGAAGCTCAAGCAGCAGGTGGTGCCAGCGACACGGCAGAGTTCATCAGCCGCTTCTGGTCGATCATCTTCGATCCAAAACCGTCTCTTCGAGAACGACTACATGAAGTGTCAGCATTGAAGCCCACGTTGATCACAGATGCAAAAGCACTCTACGATGCTTGGCATAAGGAGACAGCAACCTCAGCAAGCTCCTCCGTGGACAAGCGCACCTACTTGGAGATCAAAGTGGCCAAGCAACAAGTATGTGAACTTGGGGGCTGCCTTAAGTGGATCAGCTCCGAACGACAGTTCGCAGATGGCCTGACGAAGAGCTCAACCAGAGGACTCTTGGCAGATCGCGTCCGGCGACGCAAAATAAAGTTGGCTTGGGACCCTCACTACACCGCCGCCAAGAAGAAGAGCAAGCAGGAGAGGGAAGCGAGTCGACAAGAGTTCGCTGACCCCAAGTCGAGAAAGAAGAAGAAGCCCACAAAGAACGAACGCACCACCAACAACCTACAACTCAACCACACCGACAACCTCGAGAGCGTGCAGGAAGAACCACACGAAGCTGAACTGGCACTCTTGGACAGTTCGCCTAATGAGGACTTCGCTGCTAGGTCTGGCACCACAACCTTGAGATCACCGATGGCGCTACTGGTCTTCTTCACCCAGCTCAAGGCTGTTACTGCAGAGTTCTTCGGTGACCATGCGCAGATGGATGATGCAGGAGTCTGCACTCTGGATGATGACCCCGATGCAGGTGGGTACTTCCTTTGGTGCTTGGCGCTCTTCATGCTGATCGCCGTCCTCATTCTGTGCTACCTGTCCTACAAGCTCGGAAGATTCCTGGAGCGCAAGAGCCAGGTTCGTGACCTGACGGTCAAACTTCGTGTTGCAAATGCTCGCGACCAGCGGCGCTTTGACGCCGCTTTGGACGAGCAAAACCTCCGACTGGACCACCGAATGGCCCAGCTAGAGAATGACCTCGTGAAAGCTGCCGAAACGAACTTCGAGAACAAAAGACACCACAACGAGATGATGGAACAATGGAACATCGAGCAGCAAGAGGCCGAAACCATCGACCAGGCTTTTCAGCAGTGCCAAGGACTACTTTGGCGATGCTACAACGAGCTCCTGTACCACTTTGAAGAGGAATGCCCCGCTGAACATGGAGTTCTTGTGGCCCCATTTGGCCATGTCTGGCACACTACCTCTGAGTGCCAGGGTTTGAAGCAAGCCCATAGAGTTGACCGCCGACCTGTTTGTCATCATTGCGAGCCCCTACCGAGGACTCCGAACGTGGTCAACGGCCCGAGCAGAACGACGCTTGCCCAGGACATGGGCAGCTGGAGGCAACAATGGGGCTACCTAAGCTATGAAGCTTGGATGACTGACTAGCCTGCCGCTTGAGCATTTTTTAGGTTTGCACACCTTTCCACCGGTGTGAGTTTCAGTACAAACTCAAGCCACGGACATAAGATGTCCATATGAAGCTTGTTTCATGAGTTCCACTTCTTTGCCATTATGGCCCTGAACCACCCTAGCGGTGGGAGCTGACAGCACACTTTGAGCAATGGCGTGAGAAAGAAGGGCACACGACTTCGTGAGCTGTGTCCGCCACTTCGTTTCCGGAGAACTTCGTTTGTCTCTGAGTTCCACTTGGGCTACCTAGCTTTGCTACCTCTGTCCAAGTGACAAAATATGTTATTTTTTGTTTTGGAAGATAGGCTCTTTCACGCGAAGGCTTTAAAAGTGTGGTGGGGCCGCAGGACAGTATTTGAGCACAGAGGCCCAACACACATTACAATACTTACCAGAGACCATGCCACACCGGGGAGTGTGTGGGAAACACTTATGTGCCGTGATGGCTCAGGTACCATGTTTTTCACATATATATAACTTTTCAGCATCCAACGTAATTAGACCAGGCAAGGTCCACGTTAACCACTTCTCTGGACCAGTTGTTGGTTGATTGAGAAATCACTGTGCTTGCATTCATGGTCCACGTTCACACTGATGTCCCCCCAGGGGTCCATAAAAGACGGGATTTCCAATTTTCCCCCGTGTAACCAAACGGTAGACACACACTCGTTTAATTATCACACAAGTCAAAAAAGTGTTTTCCAGATCTGAAACGGGTGATTTGAATCTGTTGTTCCTTTTTTGGAGCCGGGATCGCGGGTGTTTTCCGATCAGAGATCGCGGGTGTTTTCGGATCAGGTCATGCCAGCACTGTTGTACCTACGACTGCGGGATCGCAGCATGGCTGGCAGCGCGTACAGGCAGAGCCCGGACACTGCGTTCTTGTCAAACTTTGCCCCTTTTTAATGCTTTTGTGTTCTATTTCCGTCCACTCTCCTGCTGTCTCCTTGTGCTATTTTGGAATATGTTAGACACCTTGTACATTTTCGATCATTTTTGTAATATTCTCATAGAGCTTTGTACAGGTGTTCTTTTTGCTTTGACTCTGAGGTTTGTGAGTGCACTGGTGCTACTTTGTTTTGGTGCAGTTGTGCTTTTGGGAGGAACTCCAGCAACTGTCAGGGGGCCAAGTGGTTTTCATGTTTTTTCAAATCGTTGCTGTTTTTTTATTCTATCCGATTCTATCCGTTTCTGTTCCTGCGCCTTTCTTCTTTCTCTGTATTTTTTTCCTGCTTGCTTGTCTTCTTCTTCTGCCTTTCTTTTTTCTGTTTCTTTCTTTGCTTATTCTTTTTTTGTTTCTGCTTCTTTCTTCTTTCTGCTTCTTTTTCCTGCTTGCTTGTTTTCTTTTTGTTATGTTTTTTGTTCTTATTGTTCTTCTTCTTCTCTTTGGTTTTCCTTTTTCTTGTCTTGCTTATTTTTACTATTTGTCCTGCTCTCTGCTCTTATCTTCTTTTTGTCCTGTCTTCTTGTTTTCGTCGGCCACATGACGCCCAAGGTGATGGGAGCGATCAAGGCGCACGAGGGCAGCGAGCTTGGCGAGCTTGAGCAGTATGGCAAGCGCCTCAAGAATGAGTCAGAATACGGAAAGCAGTCAATGCACTTTGTGCAGTGAGGATCTGGCTTGCGACTAGGCTGGATGTTTGTGGGTTTTGTGGAGTTATATGAGCCGGCATATGGAATGAAGTCTTTCCAAGTGAATGATGATGAGATGATGCTGCAAACATCGAGATTAAGAGCCAGATAGTAGAATAGAAGCCAAAATGCCTTTGTTGTAGAGCCAGTCACTAACATGGGAACCAAAATGACTTGGTTGGCAATGTCACCTTCGAATTAATGCCGTTGGGATTTCATTCCTCATCGAGCCCTGACTGCCAGGCCGCGAAATTGAGCCTGAGATGTTGAGCAAGTAAAGTGCCAAAGAAAAGACGCGTCGAGAGATGTCGCAAACGGCCTGTGCCCACTACTTTGCCCACTACTGTACCTGTGCCCGGTCATTGCCAGGTTTGCACAGATGAGAGTGCATGCTCCTTTTCTATTGCTTTCTTCTCATGTTTCAATGTTTGATCTGGGGCTTTTCACACCTGGCATGGAGATGTTCTAAGTTCTAAGTGTTGTTTGCTCTGAAGCTTTCCGATAGTTTTTGTGAATTGTTGTCAAGTGGCCCAGATGCCGAGCGTTTGGCCACAACAGTAAGCAATAGAGAGAGAGGATGAGTTGAGAGTGCTTGGTAAAAGAGTCCAGCAATGGTTTGCCAGCCACAGCCGTTGGCTATACCATGGGCTAGCACATTTTTCAGATCCATCAACATGCTGTCCAACACCATGTTGGATCCGCAGGTCGTCCGATCTACACGAGAAAAGTCCGCAGGCAGGGGCGTGTTTCGTGGACGTCTCACAAGAACGTGTGCTAACTCTGTTCGGAGGTTGTGGCCGACGAGCATCTTTACAACAGGCGTTCGGTCAAACCATCCTTGTTCTGCTTATTTTGCAAGAACTGCTTAGTTTGCAAATTTCATGAAAGACACTTCTCTTCTTTCAAAAACGGAAGACACTTGCATTGCTCACATCGTTTGACGTATGTGATTTCCCGGTCCAACTTCGCAGGTCCGAGCCAACGATCAGCCCTGGGAGGCCAACGATCACGACAAAGGGATAAGATATTTTACTCAAGGACGCTACTAGGAGCAAAGGGCATCGCTACTAGGAACAAGGACGCTACTAGGGGCTCCTGGGCTTACTACTAGGAAGCCGAAGGTTTGCGGGCCAGCAGCATGCTTTTGAGACTTTTGAGGCTCCAGCATGGGCAAAACCAAGCAGCTCTGGCGATGTTTTACCAGGATTCAGGGAAGGACTGGGCATCACTCACTCAACTGTAAGGTGGTAGATTGTTCTGTATAGGTGGATGATACGTGTTGTGGAGATTGGTTGGCTGGTTGCAAATTAATGAGGCCCTTTCTTGAGATTTCTCTACAACTAATGTGAGATTTGGAAAGAAGCAGGGATATGTTGGCATGTAATTTTTGGATGTTTCTGGGTAGGGGAAAGAAGCAGGGACATGTCGGACATCGGCAAGTCATCGAGTTGGTGACAATGGTCAAACGTGCCAATTCGCATGACGTCCGCCTGTTCAGCAGAACAACGAGACACCCGTGTGGTTCACTGGGTTTCAGCTTCTTTCCGGCCTTTGCGTCGTTGGGGGCGACAGTTCACGGGATCTTGTATTTTCAATGATTTTCCGGGCACTAAATGCAGGGATGCTGAAAAGAAGTCTGAGGCTCCAGGAATTGCATGACGAAGATTTGCAAGGATTGTGCAATAAGAGAGCATAGAACTGCGGATTCCATAGTTCATGATGCCACAGCTGAAGGATAGCTTCACCTGGCCAGGAAAGGTTCTTATGACTTATACGATCTTATATTATATGTTTTGGGCTGAACCTTAGACTCGGCTAAAGAGCTTCAGGCGCCATGACGACGGGACGCGGAGCGCCTGATATCAGAGAAAGCATATTGTGGACTCAGAGGATAGAAAAAGAGGACAAGGTGAACGCCACGTCAATGGCTGCTTTCTCCCTTCGTGCTGCAGTGAGTGTTGAAGACGTTCCTGCAAAGTTCAAACCCGGACATGTGAATCCCGCGGGTGGTCTTAGCAAGGAGAAGGGATTCGATCCTGCAAAGCATGGATGGGATCCTGATGGTCCTGAAGCCCGAGAATTTCGTAGGTGTATAGCGATGCAGTCAGCTGGCTCTCGACAACGTTATCCTTATCCGGAGACATCGTACCAAGAACACGGTTGGCTCTTGCTGCCTCCAGGAGATGCAGTGGCACGAACCTTCAAGAAGAAACTGCGCCGTGGTATCGGCTGGGAGTGGAAAGATCCTTGTGATTGGAGTGAAAGCAACCCAGCGGCTCCCATCATTCCAAAGGAAGCTCCAGAAGGTGCGGAAGCGACATCATGCGTTTCTGCCGCACCTCCATCAGTTCTCTCAGTCTTAACTTCCATCCCAGAGAGCCAAATCTTGGCATTACAGAATGGCAGTGGTGTCAAGACCAAAGCGGCCCAAGTGGCGGCCACAGCGGCACCGGCCAAAAAGCCTTCCATCCTCTCGGCCTCGGCACCGAACATTTTGGCACCCAGATTTGGCATTCCCAGCTCGGCCTCAGAGCTCAGTGCCTCCACTGTGCCAAGTCCTCAGAAAATGCTGCAGCAAATTTAGAGTAATCAGATTCGGATTTTTGCACTGTCTGGAATGCAATCAATGGGAAGATGTCATTTGCTTTTCCTCTCTAAGAGATATATATATATATAATATATGTAATATATATAATATAATATATATATATTAATTATATCTATATATATTATATATTATATCTATATATATTATATATATAGCTTTGTTGGACGGATCTCCACATACAGACTCGCGGTAAAGCTACTAAATTTGCTAGATATGCAGTGAAACGAGTATCCTCAGTCTCCCACAGCAACACAGCAAGGTCTCCAAGTCCCGAATCCGAAACCAATCGCGCATGCAAGCATTGCGTTGACAGAGGCCTATTATCTCTCATGACTGTACAGTAGTATTTGTAATGCCTACATGAAGGGTGAAGGGTCATTATTGTAGGTGACTGAATCATTGTCAATGGTCACTGGGTGAGGTGCACATCTCCTTGACTAAGAAGGTCAAATAGACTCTGACTAACTCAAAAATAACTGCCGGATTAAAAGATCGATGTTCAAAGGAATATCTATACTGCTGCCCATCGGAGGTGGCATCGGTCGACATTGGCTGACTGTAGAAAATATCAAATGCCTTTAATCAGTCAAAGCACGTGGTTCCATTTTCAACAGTTTGCTGGCATATTGCGAAGTCAGCTTGTACATGGAGAAGGTGCCAAGGTCTGCAGTTTGTCTTTGGTGAGCGTGAGGTCGAAGGCCAGCTCAACCGATGCAATCCTCGATCCGGCTGAAAGACTCCGAAGGCGAGAGGTCAAGCTTGCGGAGCGTCTGAAAGATGCCTGGGCCTACCAAAATGGAGGCAGGATTCGCTCAGTCAAACAAGAGTTGCATTAGGTACGAACGGATGGTTGATGATGGTTGGATGGTTTTCCATGGTCTTCCATGGTGCTTCGACTGCAGGCTGCAAAGGACAGAAGTGGTACCATCCCTTGGGACAGACAGATGTCATGATCTTAAGTCGCGGAGAAATGTCAACATGTTCCTAATAACGATGCCAGGAGCCCCTAGTAGCGTCCTTGCTCCTAGTAGTAAGGCCAGGAGCCCCTAGTAGCTTCTTGAGCATTTTGGGCTTGTAGAACTCTGTCGCAGGTGTCGCAATTGCGCTTCACTTATCAACTTTGTGCCCGCTTTCATGTTGGTGTCCAATCCCAAGGCGACACGCTTTGCCGATGAGTTTACTAAGGCACGGGGCAGAATCAATGGCAATAGAACAACAACTCATGCCGCAGCACATGACATGTTGAACGCTTGGGTCCATGGTGTTGTTTCGCTGGTATAGCTTTGCACGGTTCCGACAAATGACCACGGACAAAAGCTTCACATGTCAATGCTTTAGTTTGTATACTATAGTAGCTTCTTGCTCCTAGTAGCGATGCCCTTTGCTCCTAGTAGCTTCTTGTTCCTAGTACTTAGTACGGCCAGGAACCCCTAGTAGCGTCCTTGCTCCTAGTAGCGATGCCCGTTGCTCCTAATTCATGGCATCCATCGACCAGCAAGGCTACAGGAGGAGTTCCTTTGTACAAAATGGGCAAGATCTGAGCAGAATTGAGCACTGACTCTTGTCTTACCATCAGCCTGATTTGTGGACAAAATAATCAGTACAGATATGTAAAATTAAGATATATAAGCCAACTGAGACTGGTTAGAATCTCTAGCAGAAGTTTTCGTAGGTTTCCACAATCATCACGAGAGAAGCTCAGCAAGTTGGTTTCACTTGGACCGGCTGTGAGTTGCCTGCTGGTCGAAAGAAAGATGCTGCCAGCCAGCAGGTGGAGAAGAGCCACATCTAACAATCACCAAGCATGCCATCCTTTGAATGCAGAAATCGACCAGAGGAAGGCATTTTTGGAATCCATCCAAGCTCCTACAAAGGCACCGGATTGTCTTTCAATGTTTTTCATATGATTTCAAAAGGCAAATCTATCCTGGCCTTCCATTGACCTTCCATTGATGCTTAAAGGTTTTCGGGTTTTTAAATGGTGATCATCAATGGTTTTGAAATTCTCAGTGTTCCTTTGCAGAGCGCCTCGGCCGAAAGCGTGGCAGGTGCAGCCATTGCACCTGGCAACTCTGTGTCCAGTCAGCGCCTTGTGTTGGCAGTTCGGTGAAACTAGTAGCGATGCCCTTTGCTCCTAGTAGCTTCTTGTTCCTAGTAGTACGGCCAGGAGCCCCTAGTAGCGTCCTAGTTGTGTATCAAGCATTTGAGACAATTTGAATCTATACGATGCAGCACCATGAGCTCTATGATTTCATCAGGATTCGCACATTTGCATCAGAAGTCAGACACAACCACTTTGATCTAAGACACTTTAAGAAGCAAAATGGGCAGAAGATGTGATTTCCCACTATGTCGAGTCTTCCGTATTTCGAGAAGTTCGGCGGCTTTGTAAGAAGGCTTCACAAGGCTTTACAAGCTGAGCAGCTGAACGGCTATACCAGCTATGGCTGCCGATGCTGAAGCAGCACCTGATGAAGCGCGGGACAGAGACAAATTCCGGCGAATGTACCAGGCACGGCTGTTGAGAGCTTTTGTACTTGCTCTGCGCTGAAACCCCGCAACTTTGCATTTAGGTTTGGCCCGGCAAGATCCTGTTCCCTTGTGGTGGGCGCTGTGTGACCGCGTATCCAAGTGCCTTGGACCAGAAGAAATAGGTATGCAAAGCGGCAAACTTGGGCAGACCAAACTGAAGCACAGACCTTTTCTGATGGTACATCATGATACTAGGCAAGACACAGAAACCACATGGTATGGTTGAGGTGGCCCGGCCGCTTGTGCTTGGTCCTTCATCCTGGTACCTTGTGGGTCTGGGCCTTGGCACATTTTGGCAAGTACTTCACTTCCTGTCATCCCGTTTCAGACCATGACGGGCGATGCTTGCCGTCGATCATCCCAGGTTTTACTGCTTGTTTGTGGGCCGTCTTTGGACCGAGTGGTACCCATTGGTGCCGCTTGCCGCGGCTTGTGTGTTCTTGCTGACAACCACGTGCCATGCCTGCAAATCAACTTCAATAGCTTGAAATTGCAATGCCATTCCTGGCATTTCAGAGCTTTGAAGAACGTTTGTGTTGGAGAATGCCCTCCTCATGAAGTTGCACCCCAGCCTCATGGTCGGGCTTGCACAAAGGACTTTTCGCAATATTTTGCGATCAAACACGGGAAAAAACACGCAGATAATGACAGGGCTGACATGTTGAATTGGACACCAACCTAGAAGCCTTTTGTTTGAAGGTTCTTCCCAAGACCTTCTTCCTGGTATTGACCTACCGACCTACCCCCGAACATGCTCTGTGCTGCGAGGTTCCTTTGCCTCACTTGCTGCTCCGACCCTGGTATCATTCCTCGAAGACAGATGATTGTTGCCGCCGGGCCTCAGCCCAAGTAACTTTCAGCCGCATGGAATTGGTGTACTGCTTGTGAGCACTGACCAACTAGCCAGCTAGTTCTCATTTATTTTTCCCTCCTTCTCACTTCAGGTGCCTATGAAGCACATTTGGTCACATTTGGCTTTTGCTAAGGCTGCTCCCACATCACTTGTGCCAATGTTTTGGCATTTCTACAATTTCTCCAATGTGGCTTGGTGCTTCAGCTCAATCGGCTCAAAAACGATTGGAGAGAAAGAACGTAGAGCCATGTCCGCATCTGCCAGCAATCCAACGGTGGCCATCTTCAATGTGGCATTGATTGGCCATGTGAATCCAACCTTCCCATTGGTACAAGAGCTGGTCAGAAGGGGCTGCCGAGTTCACTACTTTTTGCCAAAGGTTCCACAGATTTGGGATGCTGCCAGAGAGTCTGGTGCCATCGTCGAAAGCTATCTACCAGATGTTCCTGAGCTGGTGCTGGAAGAATGTGGCACACAAGTACCACCAGAGGATCTTCGACCTGAAGAGCAAGAAGCCTGGGCAAGAGCGGTGTGGCCTTTGGCAAGTACACTCCTTTGTGGTGAGCATGTCATCCAAAGGTGTCAAGACTTGGGCGTGTCAGTTGTCTTGTACGACCCGGCTGCACCACATGGCTTGCTGGTGGCATTGAAGCTAGGGATTCCAAAAGCTTCGTTGGTGACCTTTCCGGGCATTGGAAGCCTGGGCGATATAATGGCACACCAAGATCGATTGGAGAAGTTAGCTGGTCTTCGAGCACCTCTTGGACAGGCCATCGAAGAGAGGTTTGGAGTTGACTTGCAAGTGAATTTGTTGACCCGCAGACATTATTTGACGGCTGTGAACTTCATAACCACTTGCAAAGATTTGGTGGCTCCAGTTCCAAGTGAGGCGGCTTGGGCCCAAGAGTTGAGTCGCTTTCGCTTCCTGCCCATTGGTTGCTTAGTGAGCAGCACGGCTCCACACATCTCTTCGGCACCCGGAAAAGTGCCTGGAAACCTCAGAGATGACCTGCCCATGAAGGAACTTCATGAACAGCTCGTAGCGGGACGTCGCATCATTTTTGCTGCGTTGGGTACCATGGCTTTGAATGAGCGTTGGAATATGGACTTGGGGCGAGTGTCTTCAGGAAACCTCCCGACAGGTACAACTGGAAAGCAGTACTGTCAACATGTTTGGAAAGCACTGCTTTGTGCTATGGAAGACCTTGGAGATGAATTCTACTGTGTGCTGTGTGCAGGGAAGCAGCCAGATGCTTTGGACTTTTTGGAGAAAGACTCACAGCTTCCGCAGAATGTCATCGTGCGAGCCTCCGTCCCCCAAGTGGAGATGCTCAACAGTTATGCCAGTGTCTTTTTATCCCATGTGGGTTTCAATAGCCTGCAAGAAAGCCTGATGGCGGGTGTTCCACTGGTGGCCGTGCCACAAGCAGTGGACCAACCTGCAAATGCCATGAAGGTTCAGAATTGCTCTTGGGGAATCTCCTTTCTTCATCCCATGGAAACAGTCACTAGCAGTGCTATGGCCTCAGCACTGCGAAGCCTGGCTTGCCCAAGCTCGCCCTGCCGAGCTGCTGTGCAGGCAGCTCGCCAGCACCTAGAGGGAGGTGTGGAACGCTTAGCCGAGAAGCTGCTGGAGATGCAGTGAACTGACCCAGCCACCTCCGCTCTATTTGTACAGGGAGAGTGGCTTCGACTTGCAAATTTGAGCATTTAGGCATGCACAAACTCCTGCATGCACAGTGTTTGGGCACAGCTTTGTACAGCGTGCGTCTGATGCACGGTATGTCCAAACTCCTCACCTTTTGGCATCAGCAGCGCAGATGGCATGAATTGTAGCGAGAGCCAACCGAAAACGCTTTGCTCAATGAAGATTATATGGTGACTTACACGACCCCTGAGGTTGGACAGAGACCTCAAGGAACTTCTAGGCTGGCACAGTTTGTTGTCAAACTCAGTTTCTTCCACTGTGGTTCTTTGAAACAGTTGTAACTGTTGATGAGACATGTTGCAGAACAGCAATGCAACATTGTAAGACATTGCCTGTTGTAAGTGAGTGGCACACCGTGAATCTCAAAAAGATCGATGGTTCTTTTTTGGAAGCATGTACTTTGACGATTTGCCAGTCTGAGTGCTCCATGCATGCGAGAGGATATGATGTTCTTGGAACTGGCGAGCCAACTGGACAAGCAGATATAGCCTCTCAGAGCAGACAAAACAAGTCAAGTGCAGACAAGCGCAGATATTGAGTTTCCTTACGGCTATGACTATGAGAAGCATTATTTCATCAGCTCCAAAGTGGATGCGTTTGTGTTGAGTGATGAATCAGTGATGAACAGAGAGGGGGAGAGAGAGGGAGAGGGAGAGAGATAGACGGATAGACTATAGATGCCTATAGCATGTCGACCAAACACCACCATGCACACAGCAACTGTCAGCTCATACATTCTGTAAATCAGGATTCATCCAACATGGTGCCTGAAGAGCTTCGGAAAAGGTGGGTTTCGGGTCCCGGGAAGGTGTGGTTCAGTTCGTAGCGCAACACTGCATAAACCGGAGAACTGTTCTTGCTCACCTTTTAAAGCAGCTGCTTGCGGAGTGCAAGCAATCCAGCGCTGTTAATGGTTGCAGCTGCAAAAGCTCCATGTATTTAGGATCTGTGGTGCATGGCTGCCAGGGGGTTCAAGTGGTGCCGCACCTGCAAAATCATTCGGCCACCTAGAAGCTCCCATTGTTTGGCCCTCAGGTGGCTTGAAAAGATCATTACAATAAGCTATAGTTCCAAGTATTTTGCAAACACAGGACATTGTCTACTAATATGAGAGGTGCAAGGCCCCATCATGATGCAATAGATTTGAGGCACTTGACAGTTTTCACTTTTGCTAGGCAACAGTTCTTGCTACCCAGGTCCTGATTGTGATCAATGTGTTCTACGCTATGATCACCACTGCCCTTTTGTAAACAACTGCATTGGCCAGCGCAACTATCACTTTTTCGAAGCTTGGCAAGAACTTGAGCTTGACTTGCCTGGCTGGCTTGACAATTGATGCGTGCTCTTCAAGGATCAAGGCTAGCGTTTAATCGGCTAATTCACGAAGTTGATCGAGACAGTGCTGATTGAGACAGGGCATTTGCTCAAAGACATTGTTTGGGCATTTGTTTCTGCAAGGTTGGCTTTGTCACCTCCGTCGTTTGCCTGGCTCTTGTTGTTCTGCCTGGTCTCTTTTGGTGCATACTGACGCCGATGCTGCACGAGGTGACCGCTTCAAATAAGGACGGTGTTGTGAAACTTCAAGCTGTGAAACTTCATTTGGCTGGAAAGGCTACGGCTACATAGTGCAAATCAATTTATCATGGGATCTGTGCGAGAGGTTAGGCAACCTTAAGACCTTAAGATAGATGCAAGAAGCTGAGAATGCGAAGCGATTCCTCATAATTAGTTAATTAATACCGGATCTCATTCTGATAAGTACATATGATATATGTAGGTAACATGTAGTTCCGAGCTGGAGGTATTCAAAAACAACAAAAACATTTGTGGTCAGGTTAGGAGTGTATCTTCCTGGGTCCCTGCCAGGAACAGCCATCATCCATTGCCAAACTGGCACAGTGTTTCAAAAGATACAGTTCTTTCACAGAGAACCATGTGCATGCATGTGCAAGGGCTTTTGGGTTTGAAAGTTCGATTTGGGGGTCCTTGGAGCAAGACGGGCTACAGAACACACAACACGGAAACATTGCTGTTGCTAATGAATAGAATGGTACACATCATAGGCTGACATGCGCTGGAAACGACGATGCACACAAATCACAGTGTAATGATGACCATTGCGTTAAGCTCCTAGTAGCGTCCTTGTTCCTAGTAGTAAGGCCAGGAGCCCCTAGTAGCGTCCTTGTTCCTAGTAGCGATGCCCTTTGCTCCTAGTAGCGTCCTCTACCTACCCGCGTTGGCAGCTGCGGGTTGCGACTTTGGTGCACAGACACGAAGACGAAGACACGAGCACCCGCGACGACATGAAGATGCGAAGATGCGAAGACGCGCGGATAAGGGGACGCGAAGACTCTTCTAGGCTTAACATCCTGAGGGCTTCAAATCTTCAAGGTTTCAGGACTTCAAGGCTTGAGGACTTGAAGGTACTGGTATCATGTCAGCAGGCTTCAAGGCTTCGGGTCTTCAAAGGAACGTCACCTGAAATTGCCAACACACTGCTGAAAATACGAGCTTGGACTTACTCGCTGATTCCAGTGAAGGGTCAAGCCGAAATCAGCAATGATGAGTTGAATTGTGAGAACATTTGCGTTGGAGAGTTGGAACCCAGGTGAATGTCATGTGCCCAAATTCTCGATGGATACATTTGTTGCGAACTGCAAGGTATCCCCTCACCGATTAGCACTGATGAGCCTCCTTGCATGTGGACAATTGTTTTGAGGAGGAAAGTATCAGCGGCGCACTGGTTGGTGTAATCATCGCCGTCTCCAGTCTGGCTGGGATTGCTCTGCTGGCTTTGCTGATATTTTTGGGAACCTTGGCAACAATAAACAGATATAGAGGGTGGCCTTGTACATTCTACAATGATATATATATAGTTATATGTGTATAATATGTTTTTTTTTCAGGTTCACGCTGGTTTGACAAAGCGCCCCCCCTTTAAAACACTTTTAGATTCAATGACAGACTGCATTATGCTGATTTCAGACCTTGGCCATCAATCAAAGGTTGGTCAGTGAAGCATGAAGGCTAAACCATGAAGCATGCGGACTTTGAGGCTACCACTTGTTCCTGATTGCGTCGGGGATGACCACAAAGGACTGGCTTTCAGGTCAGATCCCAGCTTGAGCTATATACAGCGATAGTCCAAGACACTCTGTTTGTGGTTTTGCTTGCACTAGTAGCTTCTTGTTACTACTAGTAAGGCACTTGTTTCTAATAGATTTTTGTATATTTCGTTCGCCATTTGTTTTCGGGCCGTCGGGCCGGTACTCCGGAACACTGAAGTTCTTCCCCAACCCCAAAGAAGAGTCATTGAGTCACTGAGCCCCGACACTGCCAATTCAAAGGAGGACTGGGCAAAGTAGACCTGTAGAGCAACAGCAAGAGTCTGAGGTTGTATTTTTTATCTTGCAATGTACGAAGGCTTTGCAAAACCAGCACATGCAGTTATCAGCGTCTTATTGAGTGTATACTTCTCTACGGTGTATACCTGCATATCCAACACAATCTTCTTTACTTTTCAGGCTCTTTAGAGCTTGGATGTACCTGATGCTTTCATACAAACACCTGTACTCGTGCTCATGTGGAAGAAACTTCCCATGTGGACATCTACGCAGGAGCACCTTGGAAAGTCCAGGCCAGAAACTATGATCGAGGAGCATCATTGGCCAGCGACCTTTGAAAGAGTTTGAGTTGACTGTGCTATGCTGTGCCTTGTGCTCACCTTTTGGGCGACGATTCGACGATCAGTTTTCCTGAGTTCGCCACAGGAGCCAACACTCTTTGGGGCACGTGGCCCACGGCTTTTTGATCCCAGAGTGTCCCTTTCTTGCCAATACTAGAGTGTTGTGATGGATACTCAGGACGCGCAAGTTCTGAGTTGACCATTCGTTACAAAGTGCACACTCACCAAGGTTCATCCAAGTATGATGTCCTCTGAGGGAACCCGTCACACACCACGTGTGATGGTACGACAGCCCTTCAAAGAACGGGCTTTTGCACAAGGAAGAAATCAGACTTTACTTACACATACTTACACCATAGTTGATGATTTGTGGCTTTCCTAGAATTTCATGACTTATGCTGTTTGAGAAGTTCCAAATGTGGAGAGATTAGCAGTGCAAGCTTCTTTCATTGTCTTTTGGACGTAGCAGTGGCTTGGTCCTGCCCTAAGGGCGTTTTCCCAGGCCTGCCCTCCCAAGCTTTGCAGAAAAGCTGGACAAATCAACAGGTCTGAACATATGAAGGAGATTGAAGGAGTTTGTAAATGGTAAAGCAAACATTTGGAAAGTCTCCGTAGTTATCGCTAATGGTATCGCTATGGGTCTCTGCAAATGAAAGTAATATAATACTAAGTGACACGAAGTCTTTGCTTTCCGCGATTGACGGCAGAAGATTTGCTCCAAGGCAGACCAGCAAGGGCTTCCTCAACCCAGGCAGAGAGCTCAGACATGATCAGAGTCCCAGGCTTGTCGCTGGAAACCGCTTTACTGTGATTTACTGTGGAAGTTCAAAGATATTCAGGGGAACTTGAACGCTTTCCATTTCAAAAGATCTTTTTTTTGTGTCTGAAAATTTGCGCAGCTTCCAAATGCTTCATTTTGAGAGCCGGGTGCTTCCCGTGACACTTAGGATTTGGTCTCCGAGTTGGATCGAGCAGTGGCGCACTGATGGAGCTGCGTGGGCGGGAAAGGCAGGATCTGATGGAGCGTGACGGACCCAGGTGCAGCTGCTTCAAGCGGCCTTTTCTGAAGATCAGGCGCACCAAAAGCGCACCAAGAGCAGGGAAGTGAGAGACTGGAAGCTCAGTGAGTGTGAACGCAAGCAGATACATCAAAGCGAATTAGTAGCTGCAAGCGCTTGCTGCTCAAGCCAAGTGGCTAGCCGAATTGTCAGGATGTGTTAGACAGGAAACACCTTGGAGCCTTCACCCAAAGTCTTCAAATGACTATTTGAGACTTGTTGCGGGCCAAACTGGTTGCTTGCGAAGGCCGTGTTGTTTTGTCCTTTTCTGATAACCGATACTTGCAACGCCTCATTTACATACCTTGCACGTCATATGAGTCATATGCCAGTTTCCTCCTTGTGCAGCACAACTGAACCCTTTCAGACAGTTCAGGAGCCAATGACAAATTGGGAAAGACC